AAATCCCCAACTAATAACAATCAACAAAGATTTTACTCCTGATTTAGATAAATTACTTATTGACTTTAGATCCAAAGAAAATAGAACTAAACGATATGCTTATCGTGCTAAATATGATTCTGCTCAACAATCCCGCATAACCAGAAAATGGTATGATTTTATGGTTCAATATGGTTTTGAATTATCTTTCTTTGATTATATGGATCAATATTACAAAAAGATCAACACAATTACAAAACATAAATGGAAAACTTCTCCTAATACTTCTGTTAGTTCTAATCATCCTCCATTAGAAAATATAATTATTGATCATCAAGGTTCTGAAGTTCCAGCCTCTCCTTTTAAATTACCTGGTACTAACTCTGAAATTAAAAAGGTTATTGAACAAAATAATTATACTAATCAATTTCTCAAAACCATTGGTAAACAATTAGATAAACTAGAAACTAATTTAGATGAACAATCTACAAAAAATACTAAACCCCTAGATCAACCTTTACTTAATCTCCCTAGTCATCGTTCTAAACGAACTAGCTTAATTACTAATGATCAATCTACTGTCAAAGCTATTGAACATTTATTTACTAAATTAACTCCCAAATTTACTAAATTAACTCCCAATGATACTTCTACATCCAAAGACAAAGGTCTTACTGTTTTAAATCAACAACCTGTTACCAACACTGTTTCTGATCAATCAGAAGCTGACACTAATGATAATGAAATAGATCAATTAGCCCAACAATTTCAATCCTCTCATCTTAATAAAATCCATTATCCAAAAGTTAATCCCCACACTACCATAAATTGGTATTCACGACCTACTCCACCTGACCTCCAATTTGAAGAAACTAATCTTAATAATCAATTTTCTGTTTCTGCCAAAAAATTATACGAATGGAATATTGATGGTCTCAATGAAGATCAAATCTTTCAAAAATTAAATCATTTATCTATGGTAGCCAATAGTTATCTCAGTAATTATCCCCAATATTCTCAACCTGAAATAGTTTCCTTACTCACCTCTGGTTTTACTGGCATGCTCAAATCTTGGTGGGAAAAATACCTTACTGAAGAACAACGAGATTCAATTATTCATGCTAATCAAACTGATGAAAATGGTCTCCCTATCTTTGATGAAACTATAGGCTGTTGCCACCCTGATGGAATCAATCAACTAATCTATACCATTGTCCGACATTTTATTGGAACTCCTACCAATATCTATTCTCGCATACATGATCAACTTAGTAATCTTACCTGTCCAACCTTAAGTGACTTTAAATGGTATAAGGATGTATTTACCTCTCGAGTTATGTTAAGAGACGACTGTACCAAACCATTTTGGAAAGAAAAAATTATTAATGGCTTACCTAGCTTATTTGCTCACAAAATTAGAGATGTTCTTAGTCAACCTACTGGTATTGTTGAATATGATACTTTAACATATGGAGATATAATTAGCTCTATTCAAAAAGAAGGTTTAAAAATGTGTATTGATCTTAAACTTACTAAAAAAGCTAATAAAGATAAACACAAAGCTAAATATGAATTAGGCAATTTCTGTGAACAATATGGTTTACCTCCTGTTGCACCCTCTCGACGGAAATCACATAAATACTCCAAACATAAACATAAATCATCATACAAATATTCTAATAAATATAAAAAGAATTATTCACCTTCTAAATCCAATGATAAATTCTATACTAAACCCAAAAAGAAATATTATAAATCCAAATCACATCCAAAATCTAAATCTAAATATACCAAAGATGTTACTTGTTATAACTGTGGTCAAAAAGGCCATTACTCAAATAAATGTAAAGACAAACAAAAATTAAAAGATAAAGTTAATCAACTTCAAATTGATGATAACTCCAAAAATCAATTATATGAAAATTTTCAATTAAATCAATCTATTAGTAGTTCCTCTTCTTCTGATCATCCCAATTCTTCATCTGATTACCAATCACCTAGTGATGATACTGATAACAATATTAATATAGGATGTAATGATGTTTGCTGTAAACCAGTTAAACAAATTACTGTTCTTACCAAAAACACTCAAGAAGAATCCGCTCTTATTGACCTCATTAGTAAATTAGATGATCCAAAGTTAAAACAAAAATATACTGATAAATTAAAATCCTTATTAATCCATTCAGATACCAAACCAAAGTTTGATAAACCTATGATTAGTCTATCCAAAACTTTAGACAGATTTAAAAATAAACAAAAAGAAGTTACATTACAAGATTTACAACAAGAAATCAATCAGATTAAACAAACCATCAAAGACTTACAACATAAAGATAAAAAATTAGAAGACGAAATTATTACTTTAAAACTTAATAAAAGTCTTAGATAATTTCCAAAACAACGATCAAGGATCTCCAAATGAATCTGAATCTGATTCTGATCCCACTAATCCTGGTAATCTACTATTTGACAACAGATCACACCACTCTCAATCCCACAATCCTGAAGAAAAATGATTAAGTCTAATTAATAAGCTTTTTATTCAAAAATAGTATTCTAAAGTTAAAATAATTATCAATGATTTTGAATTAGAGTTGATTGCTTTAATCGATACTGGTGCTGATTTAAATTGTATACAAGAAGGTTTGCTTCCTACTACATATTATGAAAAATGTCAAGAGAAATTAACTTCTGCTAATGGTACTAAAATACATATCAGATACAAATTACCTAAAGTTCATGTTTGCCAAGATAATGTATGTTTTAAAATCTCTTTTGTTTTAGTAACAAACATGACTGATAAAATTATTTTAGGGTTGCCCCATTCAGCCATGGAAACAATGTTGTGAATATAAATTGAATGGTATAGGATCTTATAAGCATAGGTGCGATCCTGGATTGGTTTGATCAAAATGGAATGGTGGTTGAGTAGAATGTCTTTGTAGTAGGGAAGGGTTTTCTCTGGATGGGGAAGGGTGAAATGGCATCCAGAGCCAAAATGGAATTTAGCAATATCATTGATGGTTTGATTTTTTGGGTGACTGGGTTCTTTGTAGAACAGATTAGTAACATGTGAATTGGTGTATTCAGATCGGGATGGTTTAATAGAGTTAACTGGGAATGGAGTAACATAAACTGATTGGCTAGATGCAAAAGGATCAGAAGCCAATGTAGATGAATAATCAGGACGATGAATGGAACCAAGAGTTTGGTATCGGTTAACTATTTCAAGTGAATGAGATTGGGTGACTGACTCCAAAGGAGGAGGGACAATGAGTTGATTTGGTTTACTGGAAGATGGATCCAAAGCCTTGGAGGGAGGGGAGGCGTTGGATGAGACATCTGTCGAGAAAGAAACAGTGGTTAGCAGCTAGAGAGAAGATCTAAATAATCTTGATGGCGATGTAAACAATTGTAGTTGTGAGCAAGTAAATTGCGACGAGTTTGAATCTGATGGTAATTGATATATTGGGCTCTTTTGGTAGTTGGTCTGGCTAATTTGAGGCGGTGAATACGATGGGTAAGTTGTTTAATTTGGGTTTGGAAATAGGTAATTCGGGTTTTATGGTAAGAAATAAATGGTGCAGTCATCCCTTACCCCCCTGTAAAAATTTCCGGGTAAGAAAATCACGGAGGGAATTTTGACAACCAGGTATATAGGTAATATCAAAATAAAAAATGCTTAAAATAGCTTGCCAACGGGCAAAAATTTGTTTACTAGCAAGATTTTGAACATCTTTTTCTAAAACATATTTAGCAGATTTACAATCAACACGAAGTAAAAATTTTTGATTTAAAATATCATCTTGAAATTTTTGAATATATAAGACAGTAGATAAAATTTCTTTTTTAATAGTACTATAATTTAATTGTGCTTTATTCCATATACCAGAATGATAGCGAACAATTTGTTCAGATGATTGAGGAGTGACTTGCTGAAGCAGAATGCCACCATACCCAATGTTGGAGGCATCAGTTTGAATGAAGGAGATGGATTATATATAAGTATAATCCATTAAGAATTAGTTGAAATTAAGAATGAAGGAGATGGATTATATATAAGTATAATCCATTAAGGTGGTATTGACCACCTTACATTAAGAATTTTGATGAACGACAAATTCCTACTAAATCTCGACCAATTCAAATGAATCATGAATTACTTGAAATGTGTAAAAAAGAGATTAATGAATTATTACACAATGGCATTATTCGACCAAGTAAATCACCATGGTCTTGCCCTGCTTTTTATGTTAATAAAAATGCTGAACTAGAACGAGGTGTACCTCGCTTAGTCATAAATTACAAACCATTAAATGTTGTTTTAAAATGGATCCGCTATCCTATTCCAAATAAAAAAATTTGCTCACAAAATTAGAGATGTTCTTAGTCAACCTACTGGTATTATTGAATATGATACTTTAACATATGGAGATATAATTAGCACTATTCAAAAAGAAGGTTTAAACAATGGCATTATTATATATAAGTATTTTGCTGATATATTATATAATATACTTATATAATATATAAAATATAATATATACTTATTTATAGTAATAAAAAAAATAAACACATGTATGTAAAATAAAATAAAAAAAATTAATTAAAACACATTATGTAAAAAATATAATAAATAAATAAAATAATATATATATTAAAAAAATTAATTATTTTTTTTCTTCTTCTCTTCTCTTCTTATTAAAAAAATTAATAATATACATATTAAATACTTTCTATGTTGAAAATTGTGTTATATTAATATTTTGCTTAACTTTTATAACTTGCGTCTCGCTTTGGTGAGGCGCGCACCTCGCCTCGCGCCTCGGCGCTCAGGCTCCAGGTGACCTTGGCGCCTCGATGCACCTAGGGCTTTTTAAAACACTGTTCTCATCTATACATTCAACAAAACCAAATATTTTGAAGGTAATTTCCTATACATGATTAGCATGTTATGTTGACCAATTTTTTAGTTGATTCTAAAGTAGTAGTTTGCGTTTGATATGTTTGTCCTGCAGGGGTTTTACTTGATGACCTACTAGTTGCTGAAGATCTGGCTGCTGCTGAGACAACCAGTGCAGCTTCACATGCTGCAGCTGCAGCTGCTGCATCCAATGTACAGGCGGGAAGGTTACCTGGAAGATATGTGTTTGTTGATGAAAGAACCAGGCAAACGATTCCTGATGCAGTTTCTGATGGTTCAGTTGTGCTGGGAAGTCCTGTAGCTCCTCCCATAAATGGTGATATGTATACTGATATCAGCACTGAAAATGCGATGCTCCAGGGTAGCCGGTATGCTTGTAGTTGCATATCTACATTGCTTTCATTTATGTGTAGTTTTTAGCATGGTAGTATTTTGGCTTTTGTTCTTCTTATAAAGAGCTACTAAAGTAGGTCTTCTTTGGTCTTCTCTGCAGGAGACTGACTAAAGGTGTTGAGTACTTGGTCGAGGCCTCTGCAGCAGAAGCTGAGGCTATTACTGCTGCATTGGCTGCCGCCAAAGCACGACAAGTTAATGGAGAAGTCGAACTGCCAGAAAGGGATCGCGGGGCTGAGGCTACCCCTAGTGGGAAACAGATATCTAGCTTAATTAAGCCTGATTCTGCTGTGTCAAATAATTCAGCTCCAGCTGGAGTGCGGTTGCATCACAGAGCTGTCAGTATAAAGAATTTGATTCCCATCTTAAATTTTATTTTCAAGTCAATTTTGTCATAATATGCTTATCAATACATGACTCTGTTTGTCAAGGCATATTCTTCTATGCATTTGCAGGTGGTTGTAGCTGCAGAGACTGGTGGAGCTTTAGGTGGCATGGTCAGACAGCTTTCAATTGATCAATTTGAAAATGAAGGACGACGAGTCAGCTATGGAACCCCAGAAAATGCCACAGCCGCAAGGAAACTTTTAGACCGGCAAATGTCTATCAACAGTGTGCCCAAAAAGGTATAGAGTGTTATATTTTTTGTAAATGATAAAATATTCTTTTATTTACTCAGACAAATGGTTTTGGACGGGTTGAGTTGATCTGTACTCACTTATATATATATATTTTGTACTTGCATAAGCATTATGGAATGTGCCTTAAACATATGAATAATGCAAGCAAGTGTTTTCACATTAGAACATAGACTGTCCTTATGAAGAATGGGTACTCCAAAAATGTTGTCGTACTCATACCGGGTACTGGTACTCGTACCGATAGGGCTGCATGTGTACCGGATACTTGAAATAGGCACCGGGTAATTTTTATACATTCTTTGGCAGTTGGATACTCCATGGATACACCAAGCTATGGGACATTGGCAGGGATATGTTTTATTTATTAGAGAGTTCTTATTTACTTGAAATTGCAAATCCTTTACTTGATGTGTCAGAGATGAAAGATGTATTATTTAATGATGAAGTTGATGGAAGTGAAAACTAAAGCGTCAAGTTTTTAAATTTTGCTTAGCTTGCTTTTGGAATGAAACTTTATCTTGTAATTTCTCCTATTTAATGGCATTAAAATAGCTTATAGACTTTGCTTTGGTATTGGTATTGTTGAACTATGATTTCTCTTTTGGTTTTGTAATTTCTCCTTTTAGTTTTGGTATTGAACTTTGATTTGTAAATTGAATCTCAAACTATAAATTATGAAAAATAATAAATTTATTGACACACCCCAGCCGTACCCGTATCGTATTTATTTAGGTCTTGCTGTATCTGCGTACTCGTATCGTATCCATACCTGAACCCATGCTTCATATTCTAGAGCTCCTTTCCTCTGTTATTCCACCCCTTTTACTCTCTTTTACCCTTTCAAATTTTTTTAACTGGAAGTATACGAGAGTAAGAATTATACTTCTTTTGGCATGTGCCAACTAACAAAACAGCAAGCGCAAATCTGAATTTTGTTGGCTCTACCATTCCATTTCTTTTGTTTGACATGCAATGTTGTTGTCCTGTCCTTAGTTTACAACAATGGCATGGGGTTATCTTGTTTGCTCCCTCATTTGGCTGCTATTGTCAGCTGTAGTCTGTGTCCAATTACGATTTTTAGTTTCTGTTTTGATGGGATGGGAATACCTCTTTCTTCATTTTTCAGGTGATAGCTCATCTCCTGAAGCCTCGTGGATGGAAGCCTCCTGTGCGCCGACAATTTTTCTTAGATTGCAATGAAATAGCTGATCTTTGTGATAGTGCTGAACGTATATTTTCAAGTGAACCGAGTGTTCTACAACTCAGGGCTCCTATCAAGATATTTGGTGATTTGCATGGGCAATTTGGGGATCTTATGCGACTATTTGATGAGTATGGCTCACCTTCAACTGCTGGGGACATAGCGTACGTGTTTTTGTTCGTAGATTATGTTTCATTTTTTGACATTTTATTCCAATATTGTTTCCATCCTTTAACAAAGAGTTCATCATTGGCCCCAACTTCTTCTGATGTTTCGGAGGCAAACATTAGCCTCTGTAACTTGTTTTGTGTGTTTTTGTTTTTATATTGAAATTTTGACAAATCTGTGCCTTGATCACATATTGCGTGGATACATTTTTTAAGTTATTGGTGTAAGAATCAGTATGGCATTACCACGGCCTGGTGTTTGGTTAGACTTGAGATGTGATGCAAGCAATCAAAAGTTAAATAGGATTGAATATGTAAAAAGCATTCATTGAAACAAAGCAATTGTCAAAAGTATAGACCGGAACCACCTGAGGGTGGTGGACTGATGGTGGCTTCTTTGATTCGAACATTTCTTCATTGAGGAGCTTGATCAGGTGGCCTGATGGTGGTTTCTTTGATTTGAATATTGCTTCTTGTGAAGCGTGATTTGAATTTTGAAAATCTATGATACTTTTCAGACCCTGTTTTGTACTGGGTACTGTGAATTGAGTCCAAGGTGCAATAGTATGAGGCAACATATGATTTTGGCTAGATGCAGGGTCTTTTTATTATGCATAAAATGCTAGAAATAATTGTTGTTTATTGTCATGTCTCCATGGGCATTCCCATGGAACTACATTTTTCTATTGCTCTTACAGGTCTACTGTCTGCGTATTATGTTTTTTTCTTTAATGAAAGTGATTACTTCTGTTTGGCCTTTTTAAAGCATTTTCTAGGTCCTTCAGTGAGATTATGCAATTACTAGCAATTTTTTTCCCACCCTTTTATCATGATGCTAATTTCATGTATGACTATCAGATATATCGATTATCTCTTCTTAGGAGACTATGTTGATCGGGGCCAGCACAGCTTGGAAACAATTACTCTTCTGCTATCTTTGAAGGTATAATACTCTTATTTGGCCTGTATGTTCTTCCTTAGTGGTTAATTATCTTAGGGCTCAAACGTTTTCTTAAACTAAAACATGTTGGCTGTGTTTCTGTCCATTTGATGAACTTTATAGGTGGAGTATCCCCTCAACATACATTTAATTCGTGGGAATCATGAAGCTGCTGATATCAATGCCCTTTTTGGCTTTCGAATTGAGTGTATCGAGCGCATGGTAAGGGATTATTTGTATGTTAAAATGTTTTTTTTTTCTTCTTTTACCAGTTGTGAACTTTACAACATAGCTGATCAAAAACAACTAAAAACTTCATGATATGCTAAACAGGGTGAGAGAGATGGAATCTGGACATGGCATCGGATAAACAGATTGTTTAATTGGCTCCCACTGGCTGCTCTAATTGAGAAAAAAATTATCTGTATGCATGGTGGAATTGGAAGATCAATAAATCATGTGGACCAAATTGAGAATCTTCAGCGTCCTGTTACGATGGAGGCAGGCTCAATAGTTCTCATGGACTTGTTGTGGTCAGTGCTTGTCCATACCTGTTTATAGTTTTTGCATTTGATTTGTTTGTCAGTTATATCATGGATTTATGAATTTCTCTTTTTTAAGGTCTGACCCGACAGAAAATGACAGCGTGGAAGGGTTACGACCAAACGCTAGAGGTCCTGGGCTGGTTACTTTTGGGGTGTGTTCTCTGTTTCATTTTTTTTTTTTTTATCTCCTTTCAGATATTTTCCATTTCTTAAGTTTAGTAATGTTCTAAATATGAAATAATTTTTGTATTGCCTTAACGTTTTGGAATTTTTTTGTAACTTTTGGGATTAAAAATAAGAAAAGCTGTGATGATATAGCAACAATGCCAAGATGAAACTGCGAACAGTCCATATAAAGATACAATTGTATTAATTCATTTAAAGCTGTAATTTAAATTATGTTGAACTGGCCTAATCCTCCTTTGAGTCAGCCAATTGTTATTGTTAAATCCAATTCATAACTTTTTTTGAGCTTTCAGTATGTTTTCTCATCCCAAAGTTTTTCTATTGCTTATTTTTGGAGCTGACTCCATAATTCAACCACAACTGTATAGATAGATATGGTCAATTCTTTAATTTGTCCAAGGATCTCTGTGGCATTGCTTTTGATTGAGTCATTTTTACATTTAATGTAAATTGGTGATGTAAGAGTTCTGATAAGAATAAAGTTGCCAAACAATGTTGGCCCAGGTTTCTTGCATACTACTTGCTAGAGCTTGTTGAGTCAAACATCTAATTCTTATTGTACATCTGTATTTATGTGGTACAAAAACCATAGTGTTTGCCTGCCTTGTTGATAGATTGTGACCATGGAATTTTGTAGACCTCCATGTAAAAGAAATCATGCGGCTGTAGATTTGAATCCCTGACATCGTTAGGAAGCTTGAGATGATGGTTTTACAGTTCCTTAACTGAAAAGCTGTTAATAGTAACCTAAATTAGAGGTCATTTCAGGAGTAAGACAAATTGTGAAATTTCTGGGGTTTCTATGTCACATTGTACACATAAACCAAACCAAACCAAGCCTTATGTCCTATCAAATCGGCGGCTACATATCATGTCACATTGTGCACATCAACCTCCAAAATAAGCGAAAGCGTCATCTTAAAGTACTTGTCTGGTTCTGGGTCATAATTATATGTTGATAGAATATGTGAAATTTGGTTGTCTTATTATGTGTCCATAAATTGGAGATCTATGTTACTATTGTCCCAAAATTGATAGTGTTTTTTTAATGCTTTGTTGCATATTCTTGTCTCTGGGGAGGAAGGTTTGTTTATTCCGTTACTAATTTGTATAGCATTTTGGATGATACTGTTCATCTGATGTGGTTTTCTGGTTCAGCCTGATCGTGTGATGGAATTCTGCAATAACAATGATCTTCAATTGATTGTACGTGCACACGAATGTGTTATGGATGGCTTTGAACGTTTCGCCCAGGGGCATTTAATTACTCTGTTCTCAGCCACGAATTACTGTGGTATGTTCTGGCCCTGACATCCTTACAAAAAGCTTCCGAGTTTTTAGCATGACTAGTGATTTAGCATATTTAAACATGGTTTTATTTGTTTCTTTAGGTACCGCAAATAATGCAGGGGCAATCTTAGTTTTGGGTAGAGATCTTGTAGTAGTTCCGAAACTCATTCATCCATTGCCACCAGCAATTTCTTCACCAGAAACGTCACCTGAACGCCATATAGAAGATACATGGATGCAGGTGCTGATATATTCTAATAATAATTTTTGGGTTAATTACACAAATGGTCCCCAAATATGCATTCCGTTCCACTTTGGTCCCCAAAATTTTAGTCCCTAGTATTAGCACCATTCAAAATCAGTAACAGATCACATACTTCTGGTACTAAAGCGTAACAAAACATATACTTCGAAGACCATTAGTGTGATTTTGTCTCCAACTTCTTGTGGGATTGATGTTGTATTGTGTTTTTTTTACGAGATTAGGAGCTTAATGCAAATAGGCCACCGACACCAACTCGAGGCCGTCCTCAACTTGCTAACGACCGGGGTTCTCTTGCTTGGATATAGTCTTTAGATCGTTCTGCATTCTCTTTGTAACTCATTTCAGGCTCATGCTGTCACCTGGGATTTCTGGTGTTCTGTATAGAGCATGAGGCCACATGGAGGTTTTTTCCAAGGCTTTTGGAGAGTTTGGTGTCCAACACATAACATGAAGACACCTGTTAGTAAACCAAGTTGATGGCGGCAGTTGCTAGCCATTTGAGTTGCTCTCCAAAAGTTGCCCTTTGTCGATTGATATCCACAGGCAGGTAGAAGTTGCCCTTTGTACATTGGTTGTTTCTCTTGTTGGATGAGTAGTGCTGGGTAATTTTCTGATTAGTTTTTATTTATTCCTCGTTTTTAGGATGTATTATTTTTGGTTTTTGTTTTTCGTTGAGAGGACGCTGGAGGTCCCTCCCTATACGGTGATTTGGGGTGAGATATGTAATGTTTAAAATATTTTCTTGGGGCATTATTCATATGTATCATAGAGGCATTGCTTTGTGTAATTGGTGCTTTTGTGCTTTGTACAATGTAACTTAATTTGTGTGAATGTATGAAACTTTCTGGTCTGAGGCACAAAGTGTGCTAGTTTGTTTTTGTTTTTCCCTTCAGTTTGTCTTTATGATTTTTTTTCTCTCCTAAAAATGGTCTTCAAAGCTTTGCATTTTAGCAAGTGAATGATGAAATCCTTCTCACTCGGACCATCGATGAATTTGCAGGAGTCATTGGATTTCTTAATTCTGATTTCCCAAATGTTTTACTTTTCCCCGAGAGGGATCTAAAATGACAAATATATGGAGTTTTACATGTCCAAAATTAAAGAGCTGTCGTTTGGTTTCTAGGTCTAAAAATTTGCATCACCAATAATGTCATGAATTACGCCTAATCTGTCATTATCAAACAACTTGGTCTGGTGTGAAGGTACAAATTGGGAATTGGTTAGGCCCTTGTGTTGCTGGACTAAAAAATTGATCTCGACTCATTATTTAAATGATTCATAAATTAATTGTTTTGAGCTCAAATGATTGAATGATACTTATATTTCATTTTTATAAAAGAGAAAGAAACAAGTAAAATATTGGCTCCAATTAGGAAAGGGAGATCCCACTTGACTGTGGAAGTCGAAGGGTTGAAAAGTTGCGAAAATTAAATTCAAACTATTTTTTGTTGCCAAAGTTTTCATTGTCCACATTTTTTGATTTTAAAAATGTTATGTTTTAAGATACTTATTGTTTTTGATCCAAACAATTCCAATTACTCAGAAATGTAAGAAAGCGAATTAATAAGAGCCATTGGATTTGGAGAAAATGAAATCCAATCAAATGGCAAAAACTCATCTAAACATGCGAGCTGTTCAATGGGCCATCCCATTAGCACCCTAGAAAACCATATCATACTGTGATGGAAAAAACAAAAGAAAATTATTGTAAAAAACTATGAGACCAAAGGTTCTTAACAATTTAAAATTTTTGAAACTAAATCTAACCGTTGGATGTGTATAACAAGATCAATTAGCACAATTGATTAACGCTTCGCCTTGATAACATGCTATAAGTTTTTTTAAAGATAGAAAGATATTCAAGAGAACATAAAACTAAAAAACAGTGTATGAGGATTACGCCTTTAGGAATTCATCAAAAAAATTTCTTTTAGATCATCAACTTTTCATTTCATTCATATCTGTGTAATTTCAACTCGAGTCCTGTCAACATTGCTTAAAGTCCATTGATTAAGAATCAAATAATACTAAAAAATTTAGAGCTTCAAGACCTATTTTATTTATTTTTATACACTTATTACATTTCAGAACTAATATCAATATTAGTTAATGTCCATTTTATTGCTTAGTGGTTGGCATTTCCCTTTCAACTTTACAAAACTTTTTTATAGACCTCCACTCACAACAAGGATTAAATATATAAAAATTAAAACAATATATGGAACCAATCAAGAGATGGAAGTTTGGAGAATCTATTCATAATGGTAAATAAAGTGGTAATCATTGTACTTGGTCTTTGTTGAAAGCTTCTAGTTTTCTTGCCATTGTACAAGTCTCATTTTTTCAAAAACTAAGGACTAGGTTGGAAAGACTAAATAAGTGTACTTTTTGATTTTTTATGAAATATGGGTTGTGTTTGGATTGTGTTTGAAGTGATATATTAGAGAGGTGATGTGACTTAAATAAGATGATGTGACTTAAATAGGATAGTGACTTTTTGACTTTTTGTCTTTTTCAATCTTCCCAAACTAGGCCTAAAATGAAAGAAGTAAACCATGTGGAACATAATTAATTCAGAAAAATATTTTGTATAATGGATATCTCATGCGATTGAATTAACGTAATATATATTTTCATTTATTGTTAGGCCATGTCAAACTTGATATACTACTTCCGTTATATTACACAAAATACCTTTTACAATAACCCTAGCTACTCATTTAATTTTAAATTGATCATTATCATTTTTTTTTGTTGGTTATTATCCAATTATATATAATATAAAATTAACAAATCTCTAGAACCCTGTAAACAGTAATCAAAATCTCAGTCAAAGAAGAGAGACCAAGTTCACGTGGTCAATTGTCATCTTGAAGTAACCTATTGAAAGGGCCAATCCATAAATCACTATTTAGCTACCAATAAAAACACCAAGCGCTTGTTTGTTTGGACGGATTAGATAAGGAGAGATTGTAATTTACTGTTAATTCTGAGATACACTATCTCCGGATTATTTGGTTGGACTGAATTTGTATCTTATGTTTGTTCATTCATAGGATTAGATGTCTGGATTTGACTATTTTATTGAATCTTATGTTTGTTTGGAATATTATGAAAAAGGATAAATGTTTAAAAGATTATTTTGCCCTTTTGAATTATTTATTAAATAATAGGATTATTAAATCTGAATTATCAATTTTATTTAATTTTTTTACTAGAACTTTTAAAAAATTAATAAATAGAATATTAATAAAAATTACATAAATTTATTTTAATTTGTAGTTGAGATTTTTAAATTTTATTTTACTTTACTAAGTATAATTAATACCATATGATTATTAAAATAAATAATTTAATAAAGTATAAATAATTTAATAAAAAATTTATTAAGTATAAATAATTTAACAATAAATTTTATTTTTAAAACTATATTAAATAGTAAAGAGTCAAAAATGTAATTTCACTACCTAACCCCATACGATGAGTTATCATATGGATTGTGTCTCACCCCCCCCTCCCCCCAATGGGATAGAACAATTCCATAGATTTGGGATTCATAGTCCGGTATAAAAGTTTTGAATCAAACAATGGATTATTAATCCTATACCATGCTTAAATCCTTCCAAACAAACACTATCTAACAGGATTTGAAGATGCAGCCAAGAGCCAAAAATTGTTGTACAATAAAAAAAAAATATGTATATATATATATATATATATATTTAAAGTTCAATATTAAAATATGTGAACAAAATTCATTGTAAGTATAATCCAAAATGTACTAATACTAAAATTTATACCTTAACACTTAAAACAGTTGTGCTACATATACAAAAATTATTCACATAATAATTTACAAACAAGAAACAAAAGGGTTAGTACCAAATATATATGCAACCAACTTGTTGTGTCTTGGAAAACTATTTAGTGTGTTTGATTTCAATTTTTTGACAAATTATGTTTTTTATTTTTTGTATTTTTTTTTAATTTTTAGTGAATATTTTTTAAATTTTAAACAATTTTTTTACTTTTTTATATGCACCTTATTTAGATGTGCCTAGATAGTAAAATATTTGTGAAAAAAAATTTTAAAAGTTAATAAATACATAAAAATACAAAAAATATACTGCATTTTTGAATTTTTTTTTGTTTTTTTGGTATTTAGTGTATTTTTTAAAGATTTTTTTTCACAAATATTATAATTTTAAGTGTATTTATGTTTAGTTGTGTCTAAAAATTAAAAAAAAATTACTTAAAATATTAAAAAAAGTCTTTGAAAACATTAAAATACGGAATATAAAAAAGTAGAATTTTCTAAAAATAATTTTCTGAAAATCAAAACCAAACAAACTGATTACATTTATGTGCTAATAGTTTTACTCCATCTAAAATTCTTACTAAGTTTTTAAGATAATTAGATTTAGGTTTAGCATTTTTTTTTATTAGCAAAAAGAAGTTCTATTGATGAAAAAAAGAGTTACAACACAAAGAGCATACATCAATAAAGTAAAATAGAGCAACAAGCATCATAACTAAACTTAACGACCCTAATTAGATTAGTACCACAAAACAAGCTCAATCATGTGCTAACTCTACTCCAAGATGGTGAGTGACCAACCAAACTGATCAAATATGAAGAAAGGCAACCAAACACTGCCAACAAAACAACAAAACAACAGTTTGAAAGATACACATTAACAAAATCTATATATATAACGTCTTACTAATGACAGTTTTAAGGATGGTCAATAAAAAAGACATACATCTAACATATTTATAATTTCAATATATTTCTTTGCATATCCCAAAATAATTTTTCATATTTTATATATTTGTTACACATTTTTCAGCATTGATAATAGTCCTAAAAATTATTTTTAGCATTTTTCATATATATATATATATAGTGGAATGTATGCATTGTAAAGAGAAAGAGAAAGTCGAAATAAGGGGTTAGTGTAAAGAGAAAGTCAAATGCGCAGCAGCACCTGCTTTAATTTACCCAGCTCACATTTGGAACATTTTCCCTTCCAAAACCGAAGGAAAAGTCCTTAATTGACTCTCTCTCTCTCTCTCTCTCCTTTGTTGACTTTCTCTTTTTGAACAAGTACCTTCTTTGTCTTCATATAAAAACCTCACCTTCCTTGACAAACTTCATCAAACCAATTTGCAACTGCTAAAACAACTTCATTCCATCTCTCAACTCATTCCTTCTCTCAAGTACGTTAGTTAACCACTCTTCTATATCTCCTTATTGCTTAGTTTGGCCTTTAGGCCATTTCCTTGACATCTTTTAGTTTTTCAATCACTAATATATCAGTCGATATTATTTACATCACCGATACATATTAACTTAAAGTATTCTTGATATATATATATATATATATTTTTTTTTTCAAATGGAAGAAATTGATGTTCCTTCTTATTTTCTTTGCCCAATCTCAATGGAACTCATGAGAGATCCAGTCATAGTCTCAACCGGTATTACTTACGATAGAGAGAGCATAGAGAGATGGTTATTCTCATGTAAGAACAACAATTGTCCCGTCACCAAACAAGTATTGCTATCTGATACTGATCCAACACCGAACCACACGCTTCGACGATTGATCCAAGCATGGTGCACCCTCAACACTTCACATGGGATCGAGCGAATCCCAACTCCAAAACCACAAGTTGATAAAACCCAAATCACAAAACTCCTCAACGATGCGAAGAAATCCCCAAACATGCAAAAAAAGTGCCTCCAAAGGCTCAAATCGATCGCAAACGCAAGCGAAACGAACAAAAAGCATTTGGAAGAGTCCGGTGCAGTTGAGTTCTTGGCTTCAATCATTAGAAAAAATGAATTTACAATAGTTGAAACAAAGGAGGAAGCATTATATTTACTTCATCATCTCGAAACCTCAGAATTATCTCGCAAAAAGCTAGTGAACTCTGATAATGGTGAATTTATTGGGGGTTTAATTCATGTAATGAACTGTGGGAGTTACCAATCTCGTGCCTATGCGATAATGATAATGAAATCCATTTTTGAGGTGGCCGATCCAAGCCAATTGGTCGGCGTTGTTCCCGAGCTCTTCATTGAAATAGTTCACATTTTGGGTGATAATAAGATCTCGAAGCAAGCTTGTAGGGCTGCATTGAAGCTTCTGGTGGAGATTTGTCCATGGGGAAAGAACCGAGTCAAAGCAGTCGAAGCCGGTGTAGTTTCAATCTTGATTGAACTACTTCTTGATCTTGACAAATTAGAAAGAAGAGATTGTGAGCTAATAATGGTTGTTTTAGACCGGGTTTGTGGTTGTGCTGAAGGGCGAGCGGAGTTCCTGAAGCACGGTGCAGGGTTAGCCGTTGTGTCAAAGAAAATAATTAGGGTTTCACATGTGGTGACTGATAGGGCAGTGAGAATTTTGTGTTCCATAGCTAGGTTTTCTGCAACTTCTAGGGTTCTTCAGGAGATGGTGCAAGTGGGTGTTGTTACAAAGCTGTGCTTTGTGCTTCAAGTGGACACTGGTTTGAAGACAAAGGAGAGAGCCAAAGAGATACTCAAATTGCATTCTAGGGTTTGGAAGAACTCTACTTGTGTTCCTCCTCATTTGCTTTCTTTTTATCCATCTCCTTGAGTCTTTTTTTGTGTACATAATTTTGATGAAGCAAAAATGTCATGTACTATGAATTTTTACTCCACAACTTATCTCAAAAGTGACGTGTATAATGTAAATTTAAAGTTAGGAGTCACATCTATAATGAATGTAGTATATTGGTTTATTTTTCTGAATAATTTTCTAAATAATTTTTTGAATATGTAATATTGTTATTGTTGAGCTGTGCTGCACATATAAGTTTTTTTCACATAAATGATCACAGAAGGATAAAGAAATACTATATCTCATTAATTTTTTTTATTATTTTGTATTACTACCCATATGAATATCCATAATTAATTCTTTTATTTAGAGATAATTATTAAGAAATTAATATAAATAAATGATATATTGCCAGGTAAATTGGTAATATAAAACGGCAAAAAAAGAAGTAGTAATTGTCGAAAAACAAAGGAGTGAGGTTCATATCTGCGGGGCCTATCTCCCTGAGTCAATTTTGTCACCGGTTATGTGAAATAATTCTGACTTTTTCCACACAAAATTGAATAGCAATTCAAATGGTGTTAAAATTTAAAGTTGGATTTCTTCTATTGAGATTGGTGGGTCTACTTTGATGATTTAAAACGTTTGTCTTATAATATTTGACAAATAAATTATTTATGTAAAAACTTATATTGATTGAATATCAATAATTATATAATTAAATGACATTTGTATTTTTTTAAAAAGAAGAATTAGTATGATTTTGATAATAAGTTATTCATTTATAAATAAAGAAAAAAAAAACATATATGATTAATATTGATGTCTGCTCATGTTGATTTTTTTGAATAGGTTTTTGAGTCAACAACTCATACCAAAAAGTCAAAGATTCTCTTTTCTCTCTACTTTTTGCACATCTTTTCGTAATTAGCCAAAAAGTCATCCCAAACATATAAGTTTTTTTTAACTACCTTTTTAGCCAAATAGCCAAAAAGTTACTAAATTAGCCTGTTCCCAAACGATTTACGTATGATTTTGATAATAAGTTATTCATTTATAAATAAAGAAAAAAAAACATATATGATTAATATTGATGTCTGCTCATGTTGATTTTTTTGAATAGGTTTTTGGTTTAGTCAACTGTACAAAATAAGCAATTTTCTATGATGCAATTCAGTCAAGTCCTTCTTTTCTATCTATTTATCAATAATATTCTTTCTTTGCTGATAAAAAAAAAAAAAGCAATTTAAATCACTTAATAAACTCTAAAATAGGATAGTCAAAACCCAACAGGAGCTCTCCAATCTAATGCCCAAGCCAAGTTTGTTTTTATTACAACACAAGTTCTATGCTTTTATTCAGAAAATTATGTGACTCCAAATATTTGAAAAAAACAAAATAAAATTTCCCTATTGTAAAAAATAAATAAATAAACATAATTATGACAATAATATTTTTATAATTTTAAGACATAATTATAAATGTTTTTTTAAATGAAAGAATCATAAAATGCCACGTCATTTTATATAATTAACTTCTCAATTGATTTTATATAGAAATCAAGTAAGTCTCATATTTTGTTTTTTTTTTTTGTTTTTTTGGGATGGTGATAGAACTGCAATTATAAATATTTCAGCCAATAATAAAGGATAAAATTCAGATTGGTCAAAGCTTTTGTGAGTAAACGAAAAAGTAAGACTGCATCTACCAATTATCTGTCGAATTTTTTTAATTTAATTAATTTATTTATTTATTCAAACTCACAATATTTTCAAACTACTCTCTTTTTTTATCAATAAAAGGAAAAATTTTATTGATAAAAACCAAACAATGTAAACTTTATTTTCAAACTTTTCTCTCTTGATCTGTTTCTCTCTCCACCGTCCTTTTCTCTCTCCATCAGTGTAAAAGTCAAATTATTCGAATCAAATTTCATAATGGTAACATGTTCTTCTTTTACCATGTTAATTGCAACCGTCAATTTCCATTACCAATCAAAATGTATTTAAAAAAAATCCATTTCTGCTGCAACAGTCTATTAAAATTTGGTTTTAAAAAATTGAAATTTTTGTAAATGATAAAAGTACATGTAATAAAAATTGTTTAAATATTTTTAAAGATCTTGATAATAATAATAATAAAAAATTACAGTACTTTCCCTTGAGATTCTTGACAATTACACTGGCCTCTTATTTTATTTTTTTAAATTACACTAACCTCTTCTATTAACGACGATGTTAATGGGAGAGTTGTTTAGTAATTTTAACATTAGAAACAATTTTATTGATAACCATTAAATATGCAATTATTATTTTAGTTATATCTTACGTGGTGTTTGCTTATGATTCTTTTTTTTTTTTTTTTATCGGCAAAGAAAATCTTTTTTGATGAAAATATACAAAAAAGATATAGGACCATTAATAAAGAGGAGTTTGGAGCTATCACAAAACTCCAAACGCCAGTTGGTGAGAAACCAACAAAAAGAAATTAAAAGAAGCAACCAA